ATGCACTATAAGTAGGGGTGCGGCGGGGCAGGCAGGGGAGAAGGCAGTCAGCTATTATCGCGCATGCATGCAATGTTGCGCATGCACAATAATGGCTGACTGGGCCAGGAACTGCGGAGCGGGGCTGATGGCAGGGGAGAATGCCATCCCCGATTGTTGCACATGCGTGCAATGTCACACATGCACAATAATGAATAACTGGGTTGTGAAGAGAGGGGCGGGTGGGGGAGAATGAGGCAAAGATTGTCGCGCATGCGCAAAAAATGTCACGCGTGTGCAGTAAAAAAATCACCAGTTTTTGGAGCGTAGGAGTGGTGGATGGGGCAGGGGCGGGGCCAGCAAAGGGAGGGCAGGCAGGGGAGAATGAAGGAAGGATTGTCACGCATGCACGAAAAATGTCACGCATGTGCAGTATAAAATGGTTTTGGGAGCGTAGGAGCAGCGGAGAGGGGCAGAGCCAGACACCGGTCCGTTTTACCGATTCTTAGAACTACCGGTGACGTTAACAACTGGTTCTATAGAACCGGTGCGAACCAGTAGTATCCTACCCCTGGTTATAAATTTATTTGTTATTAGATGTTCATAGAACTGTTTTTTAAATTATTTTTTCCAGTATCTTTCATTATTGATATTAGGCAGATTGGTCCATAGTTTCCTTGATCTGTTTTTTTTTAAAACATAGGAACCACATAAGCTCTTTTTCAATCTTCTGGTAGCTCCCCAGGGCTCCAAGATTTTTTAAAGATATGGTACAATGGTTTTGAGATAACATGATTAGATTAACAGAGTTGGAAAGTCCAACCCCCTGCCCAAGTAGAAGACCCTAAACCATGTCTGACAAATGGCAGTCCAATCTCTTCTTGAAAGCCTCCAGTGATAAAGCTCCCACAACTTTTGAAGGCAAGCTGTTCCATTGCTGATTGCTCTCACTGTCAGAAAATTTGTCCTTATTTCTAGGTTGAATCTCTCCTTGATCAGTTTCCATCTATTATTCCTTGTCTGGCCTTCTGATGCCTCGGAAAATAGCTGTGGCAGCCCTTCAAATATTGGAACACTGCTATCATGACTCCCCTGGTCCTTCTATTCACTAGACTAGCCATGCCAGTTCCTGTTCTTCTTATGTTTTAGTCTCCAGTTCCCTAATCATCCTGGTTGCTCTTCTCTGCACTTTTTCTAGAGTCTCAACATCTTTTTTATAAGATAGTGACCAAAACTGGATGCAGTATTCTAGGTGTGGTCTTATTAAGGTGGTGTTAGTACTTTACTGGAGTGATATTAGTAGCTCCCTTGAACTTGATTGTATCCCTCTGTTAATGCAATTTAGGATTGCATTGGCTTTTCTGCACACTGCTGGCTCATATTTAACTGGTTGTCCACTAAAATTCCAGGATCCCTCTCACAGTTACTGCTAGTAAGCTTGGCTTCACCCAGTCTATAT